TGTGTTTGTTTTAATACAATATAAAGTGTCTATTTCATATAAACGAGTTTCTTAAAGAGGTTCTGGATGTGGGGAAGACTGAAGGCATGCTGGACATCCTTTAAATTTTAACACTGTTAGAGCAATAGTAAAGATTAAAACCATGATACTTTTTTAAAATAAAATTGTTGCTTCAAATGTTTGACAGTGTTACCTACTTTATTTTACAAGTCTGTGCTACCACACATTAATAACAATATTTCATCTTGCACATTTTGCTATCTGAGACTAGAGGACAGGCTTTGTTTGATTCTTATGTAGTAAAAGTAGCATATGAAATGATAGTTTATTGGGAAAACAGTGGTTAGAATGAGCTAGCAAGCAAGTTGGTTGGGTTGGTACTTGAGGCCACTCAAGCCAAGCTATTATTTTTCCAGAGTTTTTCAGAAATCTACCAATAGATTTTTATATACTTCTGCCTCTTTTCAAGTAAAACTCGAGTTGCCCAGAAAAAAACCCAAGAATTTGACTGAATTTGGAAAAGGGATTTTGTTGATGACACATCACAGCTTACAGGATGGAGATGGCGTAGGTGTCACCCTCGCATACTCCTCAGGCGGCCACTAGGACACAGTTGGGTTTCTTCTCGCTCAACAACGTGCCCCAGCCGTACCGAGTTATTCTCTGTATCTGGATGCATCTTCCCTGCCCTTTGCTGTTGAAGCTGCTTTTCACTGTATATGGTTATAGACTCTCTCAGCGAAAGAAAACGAAAGTGCATCTCTGTGGTTTGGGTATTCCCCTCAGCAGAGGGGATACCTGCTTCCTGCCCAGTCAAGCGACTGCCACGGTTCGTGCACTTTTCAAACAGGAAAACATGACATTTAATGGCCTAGTGATTTAAGCACTCATCTGAGAGGCTGGAGTTTCAAGTTTGAGTCCCTGCTTTAAATCAGACAAGGAATTTGAACCACTCTTCTTCAGTGGAGACGAATACCAAAGTAACTTGGTATTACTTGACAATACAGTCAAGTTTAAGCAGGTTGAGGAATGTCTTTCCTCTCTTTCATGAATGGTGCTCAAATCCCATGGTGATCCTAACTGCCCATCTCAAAATATTCTTGGGGGGGGGGGGGAAGAAAAAAGACAAAAAAAAAGCTCGACTAGAGTATTTCATTCAACCATTTCATGTTAAAGGACTTTGTGAAATATCTTTGATTGACTTGAAATGCAGAGCAAAAAAGAAAGTGTGCAAAGAAGGAACGCAGAGGGTGATGGCTCCAACATATCCCAAAAGTTCAAGCAGCAGCAGCAGCACATATTCTAGCATCACCTTTTTTTCAAAATGCCCTCGAGCCAATTTGCCCGTCAGCAGCAGGGAGGCAAACTATTCCTAGAAAAGCACAATTAGCACATCTGGAACCTTAGTCTGAATTGGCCACAGAACCCAAAACCAGATCAGAACTTCATCAGTGAATTGACTGCTCTGTTTAACTCCATAACAGCAGTGTGACAGAAAACGTGTTAAAGTTATTAATTAGTGAAGGGTGAACATTCTCATCAAGAGTCTAATAAACAATCTATGCAAGTGTCAAAGAAGAACCAGCTGTCAAAAAATTGATTCTTGCCCTCAGAATCATTTTAACACTAGGAAATAATTTCAGTTATTTCTAGGTAAATACTCTTTCTGCGCAGGGGCGCAATGATCAGTGGGAGACTATCCCACCGCCTCTTCTGTCTGACAGCTGTGTGGCATGACTCTGCTTTTTCACACTTTTGCAATCAATAATGTCACATTTTGAATCACGAGAGAGGAAGTTCAGCATCCAGCGTGTACAGAGCAAAACACAGTCTCAAGGAATATAAAATGCAACCACACCAACAAAGCAAGTGAAACACAGAAGCAAACAGCATCTGCAACAAGATTTAGGACCAACTGCAGCAGCGCAGCGAACAGGAATCACCAGGCTCCCCTCCCACCTGTGGAGCTGAGTAAAGAGCCTCTGGGTTAAGGCTCTGCACTGTGACTCAGGAGACAGTGAGGTTTTGGTTTTTTACTACGTACCTCCTCACGTGACAAAGTTTACAGCACTTGATTTTTTTTTCCACTTCCTGTTTCTGCTTGTTCCTCGGTGAAGGAACTGCTCCAACTTTTCACGTCTTAAACATTCAGTTTCCAGAAGCAGGAGGGACAGATGAGCAAGCACATAAGAGACAGACAGATAACAATACTAACATACAGGATTCTTAATTACTCTGCGTGCTGCTCTCTGCCTGGCCACAGACAAGTTTTACCACACACAGACACCCTTCCGCTCACCTACAGCCACACAGCAAGGTGACGTCGTGCTGCCGGGCGCTACACGAACGCAAGCCCTGAACGCCCTTGATACAGAGGCACAAAGATCTCCATCACACTTTTTTAGCTGATACCAACTACAGCATCAACACAAGTATGATCCCACTTGGCTTCTGAACTGCTTCTAAGGGTTCTGAAGACACCAGGCTCACTGAGCGACGCACAGCTTGCCACCTCAGCACAGGCTCAACTGCTGCGCCAAAGAAAAGCCAACACCCACACGGCAGCTATGGTTCTTCCTTCCCACTGATTAAACAAGGCTCACGAGAGTGGGATGCTCTTAGGATATGGACGTCCCTTCAGCGCTCTGCAGCGGACGAAGGTGCAAAGGTTATCTAATATTCTGCACTGGCAAGCAGAGGTTTTTAGCATGGTTCTCCCAAAGAGCTTTAATTCCAGGCAAAGTGTGCAACAAAGTGAAATGATGAAAAATAAAAAAAATAGTAATAACAATACACGTAGAAAACAGATCTCCAAAATTCCCACAAAGAAGTTAAATAATTAAAAAGTCGAGCAACTGTAAAGCACAATACTAAAACCAAAATGAGTGGCACCAACATGCTCAGTTCCCACCATCATAAAAGCTGGTTTCAAAATCACTATTGTTGCATTTGGTCTTACAAGATGGAGTCAGAAACACAATTCTAACACAGCACGTAATTCAGCATTTAATCATATGAGCCGCATTTAGTTGAGATATTCTAACCACCTAGTGATGGCTTTGCTCAGCTTTATTGAATAATTAACACCTTACTTGCAACATGGGAGCCTCCACCGAAATAATTTTCTTTACAGTAATCCCAACCCTTAACTGGCAGCCTCTAATAGTCCAATTCTTCCATATATTTACTAATAGTTAATGTTTACACATGCCAAAAGTGGAATTTGTACTGTAAAGGTCAGCTCAGCTGCCAGTTCCAGTTCACAAAAGAACTGTTTAATGATACACTCCACTAAGCAATCATAATTGAGGCCAGTATTTTAAAATTCACTTTCCCTTTCATAAATGTGATATTATGAAGTAGTTAATGCTGTAATTGGAATTTATTCTGCATTTCATAATAAATTATTGAAGACATGTATGGTCATTGAAGTAATATATCCTAATTTTTTCCTATGTATCTGTTAAATATATCATTAAAATGACAAAAATTAAAAAAGAAAAAAAAAGTAGAGTTCAGTTGAAGCTTCTGGTCACACTACAATATGCACCACATAACCTCCCCTGCTTGTTTGTACATGATCCCCTACCACATACCGGCCTCTTGCATTTTCTAAAGCTTTCAGTACCCTTACAAAGAGCCAGCAGAGCAAGCGCACATTTTCTGCCCACCCTGCAGGTATCTTGCACAGGCAGCACCACGTTCTAACACAACTGGACCCATTTTAATAAGCCAAAGGTTGGTTACAGACCCCAAACCCATGGATTTGGTGCTAAAGCTGTTCCGAGTGCCACCTGGAGCACTGCAGGCATGGCGAGAGGTGCTGGAGGCAGTGTGTGCTCCCCCCCACAGCCCACCCACCCCAGGACCTGCCACCAACCCTCACCCATCCACAGCTGGTGCTGACAAGGGAACTGGGAAGCTCTTTCCAGGTGGGGTCTGGACAACCCCCTCCTCTCCAGCACTCAAAAAATGTACAAGCTGGCAAACCACAGTCAAGAACATGGAGAGAACCGAAATCCCAGATTCAAATCCTCCTCCCTGGCGCTGTTACCAATGGTTCACCCTGTACAAAGGTACCCCCAAAAAAGATCTTTACGCAAATTCTCCTGCACTGCTGTTTGCTGCTCTGTCAAGAAAAATCATCCACAGGGCCAATTCAGCCTACGCAGCCTCAGAGACTCAGTCAGGGATGACAAAAGCCCTGCACCCCTGGAAAGATGGGGAGTTTTGGTAAGCTGTGAAAAACTTCTCCTCCCTTTGGTAACTTAGTACAACCAACACAGCACTGGACAACTGGAAGAAAAACTACTTCCATCCATGTCTTGTTTATAGGCCAGTAATCATGCACTCCACAGCATTAAAAATACCAAGAAAGATATATAGTTTATTATTTATTTAAGACAATCATGTTCCTAATAACATCTCCTCCCTTACCCAGCTGCTACCTGGCAATATGGACACGAAATAGAAGAATTTTACACAAACAAACGTCCCAAAAGTTGGTCGAGTTATAAAACAGGATCACCAACATACCGAAAGCCGTACCAGCCGGACGGCTCCTCTAGATGCACCCTCGAGCCCAGTGCAGAGCCCTCCAAAACCCAGAGCCTGGTTCTACCTCCATATCCACGCAGAAGATCCTTGCACCAGGCGGCCAAAGCTACCGACTTTAACTTGAATCCACACCCTCAAAAAACCTTTAAAAAAGGAAAAAAAAAAATAGGGGGAGTTTCTTGCAGGATAGAGGCCAACCAGAAGGCTATTTGGCATGTTTATTGGCAGTTCTGCAGTCCCAACACAGATGGAAGAGCCAGACTTTGCCCTCCCCTTCCACACCCGAGGCACACGGGGAAGGAAAACGTTCATTGCGATTACGCGCGCAGTGCTGTTTTCATCGCGAGAAGCCACCAATGTTTAAAATGTCCTCTCTTGGGAGCACGGTTATTTTTAAATTAGGCAGAAAAACCAAGTTGCGTGGATTTTTCTCAGAAGGCTACTTAGGTCTCTGCTGCTTCCTCATCTTCCAGAGCATCTACATGCTTATATTGTTTCCAGGCCTTTAAGTTACATTTTTTGAGAACAGCTCCTAGTTGCTTCCCGGGCCCCACTTCATACGTGTAAGGGAATTCTGTCCCTTGCTTTCTTTCGTATACAGAATGCATGGTCTGTTCCCACATAACAGGTGAAACCACCTGCTTCACTAACAGCTTCTGAATGTGCTTTGAGTGCATGTACTTTTTGCCATCGACATTGGAATAGACACAGAGCAGTGGTTTCTGAATCTCAATAGATTTTAGGACTTCAGCCAGTGGCTCTACTGCTGGTTCCATAAGTCTGGTATGAAAAGCCCCACTGACTGGAAGCATTTTTGTACGTGTAAAATAATATTTTCGGGCATTCTCCTGCAAAAACTCCAAAGCCTATAAAAGAGAGAAAAGTGAGAGTCTTGCATGAAAAAGGTTTCCTCAGTCACCCCGCAAGAACCATCTCATCAGACTTATCGCAATAAAGGGATTCCTTTATTTCCCTACCCAACAACTGAGCACACACCGGAAAAACAAAACCCCCACAGATCCAATACTTTTGTTTGGACAAACTAAGGCCGTACATAACTTGCAGACAGAAGCTCAAAGTTTAAAAAACTGAAATGTTAAATTCAACTAAAGGAATAGTTATTCTGAAGCAATACCTGTAAATGTCCTGCAATGACTCTGCTGTCTGGAAACAAATAGTTTGAAATTTCACATACAGGGTTTTCTATACCCAGCGATTCACAGTGTTTACGGGCTTCCAAGCAGGCAAATTTGTAATTTGCCTCTCGCCGACCGATAATCGATAGCATTCCACTGGGGACAGCTTCCGACGCCGTTTGCATGGCTTCGGCCCGCACTTTCACCGCATACAGCGCTACGGAAAGAAAGAGAGACGCTGGGTAAATACAAGCCCCGAGAAAACCCCGTCACGGGCGCCTCTGCATCTGCGCGCAAGAAAGGGTGGCTGGTTACTCTCATGAAACGTCAATGCTTTTAATGCCGTATTACACACGTTAAAGTGAACAGCGGAAGTAGAAAGGAAAATGGATCCTCTAATTAATAAAAAAATCGTGAGGGAAACAGTGGCAACAGGCGATGCTTTGGAAAAAGCAGGGGGCGGGAGTGGGAGATCCTACTAGGGGGGTCAGCACATTTCCTGGACACCTTCGGCAAAGCCCAGGGCTCCAGC